GACTCAGCCTCAAATTAGCACCTGTTGCGGTGTATAAACGTCGCCATTTGGGAGACAAAGGAGGTCGGGCGTGGTGCTGACCACCCACGCCACGTGTGCCGTTCCGGCCTTCATAGACGCTCGCTAACAGCACTTGCCCCCAACAGTGCATTAAGGTTATACGGGGGATCTTTGTCTTTGTGTGTGTGCGTGAGTGCCCGGTGGCCCCGCGTGTTGTGAATTCTCGGGAGTTTTGTTGAAGTTGTCTGAGCGCCGCTAAAATTCTTGATCCATGACTGCGCAGAATCGCGGCGGCGTGTTTGATAACACAACGCGGCTCTCGAACGGGAGGCGGGGGCATGAGAGGGGGGGGGCAGGGGGGCTGTGCGGAGTGGTGGGAGGGGGGGGCTGCATTTGGGTTGGAGGGGGGGCGCAGTAGTTAGCGCACCGCGCTGCGAACTCGCCAATCCGAGATCGATTCCCGCTCATCACCAATATTGGTGGCGAATATTTCAACCGGTCCTGGACTTCTCCCCGAGATCGACCCCGATGTCGTGCGTGCAAGTCAGCACGAGAGAGAGAGACACAGGTGCTGACTAGCCCCGTCACCGTGTTGCCGTGCCGATCTTCAATTGCCCCAACAGTCTGCTGTGGTTACACGGGGGACATTTGCCTTTGCGCGTGAGGTGTGGGTGTGTTTGGGTGTGTGTGGAGAGCAAGTTGGCACAGTAGGGGGCACAGGTGGTGGCATCGGACAGTCATCTCAGTCAGTCGACCCATGGCAATTGGATCTGTCCCGTGACCCCCTGCCAGCCGGCGTTCGACACTTCACGTGGCATCAACGTGCACCTAGCCTGGCACAAGCGCCGTGGTGTCACGTCACCGCCACTTAGTGGCGAATGGCGGTTGTTGTGTGGAGAGCGCGAGTGTAGCGGTTAGCGCGCTGCGCAATGACCCCGGCGACACGAGTTCGAGTCCGGCTCACGGCCCACACCACTGACAATTATTGTTCGCTCACAGCACTTGCGCCAAAAGTCTAATTTGACTATAAGGAGGATCTTTTGTATTTGTGAGGATGATACATATTGTTTGATGGTACTGATGGTGATGGTGATGATGGTTGTGGTGATGATGGTGATAATGGTGGTGATGGTGGTGGTGATGATGTTGGTGGTGATGTTGGTGGTGATGGTGGTGGTGATGTTAATGTTGGTGGTGATGGTGGTGATGTTGGCGATGATGGTGATGTTGGTGATGATGGTGGTGGTGATGATGATGGTGGTGATGATGATGGTGATGTTGGTGATGATGTTGATGTTAGTGGTGATGATGGTGGTGATGTTGGTGGTGATGTTAGTGGTGGTGATGGTGGTGATGATGGTCGCGGGTCGCCTCCCCGCATCTCAATGCCTCTCGGTGTCGGAGAAGCGAGGAATTAAATCACGGCGTCCGTGACTACGAATAATGAGGCCGTTAGCACCCCCCACCCCCCTCCCCCGTTAGTACACCCCCCCCTTCCCCCTCACCACTTTCTCCACAGCGCCTCTCTAACAGCGCTCACGGGACAGGGGTTGGTGGATCACGCAGAGAGCATCACGTCTTCCGTTGCCTCTCGCGAGCTTTCAGAGGGAGACGTCAGTGTAGCGAGTAAGTTGGTCGGCTATGATTGCTTGAATAACTCAACACATTCGTCAGCAAACACGGTGTGTGTGTGTGGGTGCGGCCTTGAGAGAACATACTGCCGTATTACTGGCCACGTGTCTGGAGTCGCGCTGCTGTCACCATCCGAGAATCTCACCCAGGTTTGTAGGAACGCTGCTGGAGCAACGCGGACGTCCGTATCCTCATTCGAGACCCAAACATCATCGCACCTCCACCTCCCTCCTCCTCCTCCTCCTCGAAGACGCTGGTAGAGGCATCAACCGCATCAGCACATCATCAACAGGCCGAGGAGCACATCTTCATGAACGAGCCACAGCGGTGCGAGTGTGGCCATACAACCCACACGATGGACCGCATAGTAAACCTTCTGTGGCCTGCGCTCCTTCGGCGGAGGAACAGAAAAAAAACGACGCGACACGAACTCTCTGCTGAAGCCCTCTCGCCGTGGCCAGCAGCAGCAGTAGCACCACAATATTGGCAGCGAGCTCCTGAACCACAGCGCTGCTGCAGCTGATGCCATCTTGCGCAAGCACAGAGCCACCACTCCCTCACTCGTCCAGCCACTCACTCACCCATCCACTCACCTACTCACTCACTCACTCACCCATTTATACACTCACCCACTCACTAACCCACTTATAAACTCACTCACCCACTCACCAGACTGCAGGTCACAACAACACACTCACCCACTCATAAACTCACTCACCCACTCACCAGACTGCAGGTCACAACAACACACTCACCCACTCACTCACCCACTCACCAGACTGCAGGTCATAACAACACACTCACCCACTCACTCACCCACTCACCAGACTGCAGGTCATAACAACACACTCACCCACTCACTCACCCACTCACCAGACTGCAGGTCATAACAACACACTCACCCACTCACTCACCCACTCACCGGACTGCAGGTCACAACAACACACTCACCCACTCACTCACCCTCTCACAGGACTGCAGGTCACAACAACACACTCACCCACTCACTCACCGACTCACCACACTGCAGGTCACCTCATTTCTCTTTCAGCAACAATAGCCTCGCTTAAGTCAAGACACGCGTTACACTGCTATCTGTCATAATTCTGATAAGGGTGCTGGTTGTTGCTGGCCGCTTAACGTTGCGGGGGATGAGCTCAGCAACTGCGATTTAAAAACAATTCATTCAGTGGACTCTCACCTGGTTAAATAAAGGACTCTCACTCTCACCTGGTTAAATGAAGGACGCTCTCACCTGGTTAAATGGACGCTCTCACCTGGTTAAATTAAGGACGCTCTCTCTCACCTGGTTAAATAAAGTACTCTCTCTCTCTCTCTAACCCGGTTAAATAAAGGACATCAAGCAGTGCTCAGTGAGCGATTATTTGTAAAAAAAAAATTAGCGGTGAGTCCATTCCGTCTGCGTGGGGGGGTGGGGGGTGAACTCCGACGCGGGGAGCGACGTCCCCACTCCCCCTGCGCGTGGCTCGCACACACACAGAGTGAGGGCGCGCGCTACACGAAGCGCTCTCAGTGACCGCTCATGAGCACGAGCCCCGGGGGAATCCTTTCCCCGTCGCCAACGCGCCCGCCCGCGTTTGTTCGCGCAGGGACACGAACGCCCGCAAGGTTTGGCGCGCGCGCCGATGCAGCGGTGAGGGCACAAGAAGCGGCGCGCGCATCAGCCGGTCGCCTCGCTCATGTCGACCCCAGCGGCTGGAGCCTTTTGTCGCGCGTCGCGTGAACAGCCTCGGTGTGCACCTAGCCTGGCACGGGCGCTGTGGCGACGTCGTCACCGCCGTCGAGTGGCGAACGGCCGTTGCTGTTATTGTTGTTGTGTGTGGGGAGCGGGAGTGCAGCGGTTGGCGCGCTGCGCTACGAAGCCGGATACCCGAGTTCGATATCCGCTCACGGTAACCAACACCGGTGAGGATTTTGTTAGCCGGTCTCCTAGGTCGACTCAAAGTCTTGAAAACGAGTTCCTTGTGCGAAGTTTGAATATCTCCACGAGGGAGACAAAGGCGGCCGGGAGTGGTATTCGGCCACCAACCCTCGAACGTAGGTGCGCCGTGTCGGCCTCCATAGGTGCTGCTCTCTTAACAGCACTTGCCCCAACAACCTGTGACACGCTATACGGGGGATCTTTGCCTTTGTGCGTTAACTGCGTCTGACCCAACGCCTGCAGGTCTGGAGGTTATTTATGACCGATTCGTGAGGATGCATCTCAGGAGAGATAAGCGCGCGAGAGAGAGAGAGAGAGACGGAGTATAAAACTCAGGAGAGATAAGCGAGGGGATAGAGAGAGAGACGGAGTATAAAATTCAGGAGAGATAAGCGAGGGGATAGAGAGAGAGAGACACACACACACGGAGATAAGAGGCAGCTACGGATATTACGGGCTTACAGCCGGGGACACCCAGGGCAAGGGCAGCTCTTGTAGCTACGCGAGTGGCGTAAGCCTCGTGGGCCCGCACATTATTTCATGAAAATACCCAGAGGTCATTAAAAACTTTTTTTTTATTTTACCAGGTAAGGCCCACTGAGCTGGACAGCTCTTTTTTCAAAAGCGACCTGGCCACAAATGATGGCGCAACGACGTGGCTCATCACGTGGGCATTTATAGTAGCCAAATACTCTAAAGGCATATTATTTGGGTCTTTCGGTATCTACGTGACTTTACCGAAAGACCCAAAGAAAATGAATTCGTGCAGTCAAGACTCTAAAGGTATGTTTCTAATTGTGGGAAAGCCGGAGGACCCGGAGAGAAAAAAAAATCTACGCGTCCACGGGGAGCACATGCAAACTCCAAAAATACAGGTGTCAGGGTCGGGACCGAACCCACGACTTCCTGTACACCATACGAGGTAGTTAACATCTCACTACCGTGGCGCCCACAACTACTCTCCAACACTACCAGCGTGCTAAAGAAATAATCCGCACCTCTGATGGGCACGGTTGGCTACGTACGGTGCGAAAGAAGTTCAACATACGTGCAAATACACTGCCACGTGTGGCGCACGTGACAGCTTTGTTCGCTGTGTCGTGCACCCTGCTCCTCCTCCCGGACACAGCCAATTAATGCCGCTGTCACGTGTGTCGGGTGGAGGGGGTGGTGCACGACACACATTTTAGTCGCGCGATCTGACCCCCCCCCCAAAAAAAACAATCTATTGTAAATTTTAAAAAAACGTGCTTTATATTTATATTACATGCGACGCTTATTTTAGGCGAGGAAATGCCTCCTTGCTGTTGCAGGAGGGTTTTCTTGCCGCGCTCTCGCAGTAGGGGGCGATGCCGCCGCTGCTGCCGCTGCTGTTGTCGCAGCCTGTACCCACGCCACGCACAAAACGAAACGACAAGAGACGTTGTATTTGTTTTGGTTGCGTCTTCCTTTAATAGGCGTCTTTAAATAAGTGTCAGCGGACATAACACGAGTCTTTTGTTTGGTATCGCATACAGACAAACAAACATAGCCATATACACAAAGACAAAGATCCCCTGTATAGCCTCAACAGACTTTTGGGGCAGGTGCTGAAGGCCGGAACAATGCACTGGTGTGGTGAACACCACGCCCGGCCGCCTTTGTCTCCCCAGAGCTGATGTTACACACAGCACCAGGTCTTCATTTAAGGCTGATTCGACCTATGGGAGGCCCAGGACCGGTTAAGATATTTTCCACTGTTATTGGTTGTGAGCGGGCACGGAACGCCGGTCGCTAAGTTCGTACAGCAGTGCGCTAACCACTGCGCCACCGCTCCTCATACAGGCACACAAAGACACGCACAGTACAAAGACGCACAACAACACAGACAAGACAGCTCCGTTTCGTTTTATAGACTCTTGGAGCAAGTGCTGTTAGCGAGCACCTCTTAAGGCGGGCACGGCACACAAGGAGTGGTGTGGCCACAACCACGCCCGGCCGCCTTTGTCTCTCCAGTGCTAATGCTTACACATCGCCCCGGGCTTTCATTTAAGACTGAGTTGACCTGTGAATTAATCGCCGGGAATCGAACCCAGGTCGCCGGAATCGTGATGCAGTACGCAAACCACTACCACTCCCCCCCACACACACACATATACTCTGCACACACACACATAATTGCCCCGAATAGCCTCATAGGCTGTAAGGGGGGGGGGGAGGGCAAGTGCTGTTAGCGAGCATCTATTAAGGCCTGAACTGCGTACGTCAGGTGGGATGTTGGCAAGATCAGAACCGCCCACGCCCGCTCGCTGTGGTCTCTCGCCACGCTCACGTTGCCGTGGGGTTGGTTACTCGTTAGAGAGACTGCGTTGACCCTAAGGGAGGTCCGTGTCGGGTTAGTAGTGAGTTAGTTGCCAATTGGTGCGAGTGAGAACAGTTCTTATGGCCAGGAGTCGAACCCAGGTCACGAGATTTAGTAGCCACAGCGGACGACTCCACTCTTCCCGCTCACTATTGGGGGGCAAGTGCTGTGAGCGAGCACCTATTAAGGCCGGCACGGCGCGCACACACACACACGCACACAAAGATAACAGGACAAAGATCCCCCGTATAGCCTTCAACAGACTGTCGGGGCAAGTGCTATAGGGCGAGCACCTATGAAGGCCGGCACGGCACACGAGGAGGTCGGTGGCCAACACCACGCCAGGCCGCCTCTGTCTCCCCAGTGCCGATGATTTACGCACCGCGCCAGGTACTCTACTCATTTTAAGGCTGAGCCCACCTAGAGGAGGCCCAGGACCGCTGCAAATATTCGTCACTGGCGTTAGTGACCGTGAGCGGGCTGCCCCGCACACGCCATGACAATGAACGCGCGCCACGTGTTCGAAGAACCAACCAATAGTCATCCCACAGTCACACAGTCGCAATCGTCGCCATCCTTTATTTAGCCAGGAGAGATCCCATTGAGATTCGTTATCCGCTGCCTAACCTTGGTTGCTGCATAGTAACATCCCCTGTTCATCATTTTGGTCACGGGTATATTTATACGTGAATATTTGTTTAACTTTAACAAAAACCGTTGAATGACGCCACACGGGGGGTCATCCGAAGCAAACCGCTGCTGCTTCTCCTGTCGATTTGGAAATTCCACATTCTATGAGGGTGAATCGTCGTTTTATTGGAGAAGATTTGACCTCCCCCCCCCCCCAATAAAGTTTGTTTTATCGCCCCCTGGAGAGAAAGTTGGCCGAGTTAATCCCCCCACCACAGCCAAGTAAACATGGAATCTTTGGGCCACGGTTTGTCCGACGTTTGCCCGCCTTCGGCATGTGAACTGGGCCTCGGGGCAGGATTTGAACTTGGACCCTTCAGATTACCACAGCGCCAACCTGGCTGATCGTGGAAGGCTCTTTATGAACCACACACATCATCAACCCAAACTCCATCAGCATAACTTTTTGTTTCAACATTTTTGTGTGTGTATCAACCGAAATTGGGCGGTCCTATATTTAGAATTATACCCGCCATAGGAATGTGGAATTTGGACTCTTGGCTCATCGTCATTCCCCGCATACCACGAAGACAAAAAAAAGTTGCCGTGAATCTCAATGGGCGCCCGCGCTGATCAAATAAATAAATAACTGACGGACGGACGGACGACCGATGCTGGCATGGGTTCACCCGTGGAGCTGAGGTTCATCGGTGCGACTTTCCGAAAATATCCATTTGCTACACGAGCGTTGCTGCCCGTGCATCGCGTGCTGCGCCACAGTGGGGGAGGGGGGAATAAGTTGCTCGCAACTCTCTGCAGCAACTTTGCTCGCAGTCGCTTCGAGCGCTCTTCCCTGCTGCAATGCCGAGCAGCGCTGCGATTGGCTCGGCGAGTCGTCGAAGGCAACGCAACCGTAAAGATGTTTTTTTTTGTGCAATGATAGAAGAGAAAAATGTGTTTAATACGAAAATGGTTTTAATGTTTTCCGTTGTATAAAGGTAAATAACAAACTAACATTACATCTCTGCCCTGGTTGGATTGAGGCCCCCTTTTGGGCCAAGCTTCCAGGTCAGATGAGAAGGCCCCGGGGCCCAACCGAAGCCTAAAATGTAAAAGGCAAAGGCGCAGCCGTGCAACTGTTTTATAATCGTCACTGCTGGTGGAAAGGGGCCCTCCCCACTCGCGAGTCATTGGCCTCCTTTCACGGTCTTAACATGGGCGTTGCTGTATCAATAACCAATCCAATAACTTAACCCCATCGGCTAAAGGGGGCACACTTGTGCGCAACTGGGTTTGCGAAGCGGGGAGAACGGGCAACAAGAGCGGCTCGCAGGAAAGTCGCTCCGAGGAACCTTTCCCAACCACAACCCCCATTGATGAACTCGGGTTGGACGGTCCGCGCGTCATCACTCGGTAATGGCTTCCAAGGCATGGCTCGAGTCGCGTCGAGGTTTTTGTTTTTAAAATTCGACTTTTTTTCATCGTTAGAATAGTTCTCTATATTTATAAACGTTCTCTCTCTCTCTTATATTTGTGTATCTATGTATATAAAGTGTATGGTTTCCAGGCACATAATCAATCCCCCCCCCCTCCATAAGAAGAAATAAATCCCCTTCATATTTAAAAAAATGCAGTCTATACAGACATGGCAAATGGACACCAGCGATAAAATACCTACAGTATATAAACGTTACAGTATGTATACTGTCTCCTCAACGAAAGAAAACGTTTGGGTGTGTGCTCTCCGATCCAGGTGTGCGATTGACGACACGTGGCGATCAAAGTCTCTAACACCGGGTGGGGGTAGGGGGCTGACACCCCAACAGACCCCTATAACCGCCCCCCCCCCCGCCCCCGCACTTTACATTACACTCCCCAATACAAACACCAGGCACGGGTGTGCAACTGTGACCCGCTCCGATCGACGGTGATGCGATGCAGTCTCGGGGGTGGGGGGAAATGCCCATCCTCTTGTGCCGCATTCTGCCCCGTGCGCTGGGTCATCATCCGCCTGTCGGGTTAACGCCCACACGGGCGACTCTGCAGGTCAACTCCCAAAGTCCGAGTCACCCTCTGGGTCCACGCACCTGTGGGCTCACCTCCACGCTGACATCTGAGTTTCGAGTCCACGTTAGGCCGGACCTATATCCCAGCCCCATAGGCTCCACCACACGAGTCGTGGGTACAAATCCCAGAGTTAACTACCGCGGTAACCATGGAGATTATCTTCCGAAGGTCCGCAGGTTCAGTACATCCAATGGTCCAGGCGCTACACGAGCTGTCGAGCGCCCCTCCAAGGCCACCCGTTTGTGGCGGTGGGTCAACGTCGCGGGTTATCGGCGCCGAGTGACGTTACCCCGATAGGTTATCCCGCCGGGTCATCCGCGGGCGCTTCAGAAGGGCAGCGTGTCCATGAGCTTGTCGATGATGGGGGGAGGAGGGACGAGGTCTTCCAGCTTTAGGTAGAAAATCCTCTGCAACCCCTGGGTGCACAGGGGACGCAGGTCCCTGAGCTGGGAGAGCAGCGCGCTCAGATGCTGCTGGTGCTGCTGCTGATGATGCTGCTGCTGATGATGCTGCTGCTGATGCTGCTGCTGCTGCTGCTGATGATGATGCTGCTGCATGGCTGCCAGGACCCGTGTCCTCAGCTCCTCCACCCGCAGTGGATCCTGAAGGCCATGGCGGTCTGAATGGGGCGGGTCAGAGAGAGGTTTAATTAAACTCGCAGCACCGCCACGAGGAGTAACACACACCTATGGCTAAAGATGCAGCGCTGACTACGCGTGTACGTACACTCTGTGTATATATCTTCACACGTGTGTGCGCGCACATGTCTGCGTGTATCCCTGCGTTGTGGGGAGCTGTGGTGCAGTGCTTAGCGCGGCTGCGCTACGAACCCCGCATCCCGAGTTCGATTCCCGCTCACAGCCGCAACATCTGCACCGAATATCTGAACCGGTCCTGGGGCTCCCCTAGGTCGATTCGGCCTTAAAACGAATGGCGATGTGTAGACATCGCCACCCGGCGTGGTGTTTGGCCACCCACACGCACGCTCAAAGGTGCACCGTGCCGGCGTTCACACGAACTGCTCGCGAAGAGCCCTTGCCCCGACAGTCAGCCAGAGGCTGCACGGTGGACCTCCTCCGTCTCTGCGTGCGCACGCACCGCTGAGGAGCACCAGCGTCGCGAGGAAGGCGAGCGAGTCTGTGTGCGGCTGCAGGGCGCGCAGGCCCCGCGCGAACTCCATCACCGGCTGGAGCCACTGGCCGAAGGCGGGCGCACACGTGGACACGTGCAGCGCCTGGCCCGTGCAGAACACGAGGCGGCCACGGCCTGGGTCCGAGCTGCGGGGCGGACAGAGAGACGCACGCGGGACCACTGGGTTAGAGACGCCAGCGCGCAGGGCCGACAGCGGGGACAGCAGAGACGCAGAGAGGCGAGCGATGGCACCGCGGAGACGCGTGGACGCAAGGGGGTTAGAGGGGCACCGAGACGCGGGGACGCGGCGTTACAGGGGAAACGAAGTGCGGTGTGAGAGCGGACACGTGAACAAGAACTTGCGATGAAATGGTTCGAGGGGCTAGGTGGCATCATCCCAGATCCTTACATGGGGATTCCCTCGCCTGCTCGATCCCCCCCCCCCCCTCCCCACTCCACCACCACCACCACCTTCCCCCCCATCCCCCGACCCCTCCTCACCTGAAGGCAAGGTGCAGCACAAAGAGCTCCAGGAGCGCGGACTCGAGGAGAAGGCCGCGGTCGTGGGCGCAGAGGCCCCGGAGGCCCGGCGTGCGGTCGGCCCAGGCGGCGAGGGCACGCGCGGAGGCGGCGAGGAGGGAGTAGAAGAGGCTCACACTCTCCGCGTCCGACACGCACGGGGACGCGGGGCCCTGCTGCTGCTGCTGTTCCGTGGACTCGCACTGATGGGCGAGAGAGAGAGAGAGAGGGAGCGGGCGGGCGGGCGGGGGAGAGGCGAGAGGCGGGGGTGAGTTTTGTCGTCTTTTTTTTCTCCGAGGGACGATCGGCAGTGCGCCGGCAGCCGAAGGATCGCCGCTGCCGATGGCCAGCCGTGTGTCGAAAAAACTCTGGGCCCGGCTTGACATTGAGTGCCTGTGAACACCTGGCAAGTTGGCCAGCGTTGTCTCAAGCACGGGGCCTCGCTCTGCTGCTGCTGCTGATGCAGGTGATGATGATGATGAGGCACTGAATGTCAAGACCGGACCAGATATTGTTTTTTTATCGCGTTGAACCAAATGCCGCTGATGGGATGTGTAAAAAATAAATACTTGTGCATGTGGAAATGTATACGTACGTATGGGTGTATGTAAGTATGTAACACTATGATCGCATACATAGGTATGTGTATGTAATCATATTATGTATATCTAGGAATGTATGCGCTGTATGAAATGTATGTATGTCTATATATATTGATTTGCGTGTATGCACGTAATACTCTGCATGTCTGTCGGTCTAGGAATGTGCGTGTGTGTGTAATAGTGTACTTGGTATGTCTATCTATATATCGAGGTGTGTGTGTATATGTACGTGCGTGTATCTGCCTGTCTGTGTGCGTACACGTGTGTTTGTGTGTGTCAAAGTGTGTATGTGCGCGTGTTTTTTAGTTGTTTTGTACGTGTGTGCACGTGTCTGTGTATGTGTACCCGTATGTGTGTACACGTGTATGTGTGTGTACACGTGTCTGTGTATACGTGCCTGTGTATGTACACGTGTCTGTGTGTGTGCACGTGTGTGTGTACACGTGTCTGTGTACACGTGCCTGTGTGTGTGCACGTGTCTGTGTGTATGTACACGTGTGTATGTACACGTGTGTATGTACACGTGTCTGTGTGTGTGTACACGTGTGTATGTACACGTGTGTGTACACGTGTCTGTGTGTATGTACACGTGTGTATGTACACGTGTGTGTACACGTGTCTGTACACGTGTCTGTGTGTATGTACACGTGTGTATGTACACGTGTCTGTGTGTGTGCACACGTGTGTATGTACACGTGTGTGTGTACAGGTGTCTGTGTGTGTGTACACGTGTGTATGTACACGTGTGTGTACACGTGTCTGTGTGTGTACACGTGTGTGTACACGTGTGTACACGTGTGTGTGTACACGTGTGTGTGTACACGTGTGTGTGTACACGTGTGTGTGTGTGTGTGTGCACGTGTCTGTGTGTACACGTGTGTGTGTGTACACGTGTGTGTGTGTGTACACGTATGTGTGTGTGTGTGTACACGTGTCTGTGTGTGTGTACACGTCTCTCTCTCTCTTACCCTGGAGTAATCCAACTTGGCCAAGTCCGGCATCAACTCCTTGTGCGCCGCGAGAATACCGGCCAGGAGCCCCGCCCCTCCATCCCCCGCCAGGAGCCCCGCCCCTCCACCCCCCGCCAGCCCCGCCCCTGCACCCCCCGCGGGTCCCGCAGCCGTCGCCGGCCCGTCCTGCGGGCTCTTGGGTTTGGATGGAAGGCGACCACGGCGACCCTTGAGGCTGTCCGTGCGAACCACTGCACGGGGACGGAGAGAGAGGAGGAGAGGGGGGGGAGACGTTCGGCTCTGATTCCCACGGGAGCACCGGCACCCCATGTGCGCGTGTACGTCTGCGTGTATGTCTGCCTGTCGCCTGTGTGTATGTCTACGTGTATGTCTGCCTGTCGCCTGTGTGTATGTCTGCGTGTATGTCTGCCTGTCGCCTGTGTGTCTGTCTGCGTGTATGTCTGCCTGTCGCCTGTGTGTATGTCTGCGTGTATGTCTGCCTGTCGCCTGTGTGTCTGTGTGCGTCTGCCTTCGTGTCAGCGAGTGGGGAGCGGCGGTGCAGCGGTGAGCGCGCTGCGCTACGAGCCCGGCCGCCCGAGTCCGATTCTCGCTCCTCACGGGCCAACACCGCTGACGATTATCTGAACTGGTACCTGGGCTTCTCTTGTTGTCGACTCGGCCTCAAATGAGTATCTCGTGTGGGTGTGTAAACGTCGCCACTGGGGTGACAAAGGCGGTCCGGCGTGGTGTTAGCCACCCAGCCCCTCGTGTACCACGCCAGGCTTCATTAGGTGCTCGCTGTCAGCACTTGCCCCAACAGTCTGTTCAGGCTATACGGGGGATCTGTGTGTGTGTGTCAGCGAGCTGGCACAGGTGGTTCATCTGCAGGTCAACTCAGTTGACCTGTAGCAGCACGTGGGTCTGTCTGGCGACCTCTTGCCAGCAGCGAGCCTTCGACACTTCACATGATGGCCTCAGAGTGCACCTAGCTTGGCACAGTCGCTGTTTCAGTGGCGTCACCGCCACTTGGTGGCGAATATCGGCTGCTGCGATGTGTGTATATGTACGGTATATGCGGAGCCGTATGGAAGCGGTTAGCGCACGTAACGTGGAATTTCCCTCGCCAACGGATACCTGGTGCAGTGCGTGTACACAACAGCACTGGGGCGAGACAAAGGCGTCGTGGCGGCGGGGTGCTGGCTACCAAACCGTGCCGGCTCTTATAGGCAGGCTGCTACTCGCTAACAGCACTTGCCCCAACAGTCTGGTGAAGTCTATAGGGGGGACCTTTGTCTGTGCGTGGGTCGAGTTGGCACTCACCTTCTTTCACCATGCCCACGCCCAGACACTTCTGGAAACGGCAGAATTGGCATCGGTTGCGTCTCCTCTTGTCAATGGGGCAACTCCGACTCGCCAGGCACACGTAGCGCGCTCCCTTCTGCACCGTGCGCTGCGCAGACAAACACGTCGTCACGCACCGTCATCATCACACATCATCATCAGAACACCGCCACCCACCGTCATCATCATCATGATCATCAAAACACCGTCACACATCGCCATTATCATTTCAACATCCTCACACATCGTCGTCACTTCGACATCGTCATCACCGTTATATAATTACAACCTCGTGACGCATTGTCATTATCACACTTCATCATTATCACATCATCATCATTTCAATATCATCGCCATCATTATCACGTACTCAAGAGAAAATAAAAACACTCGTCATGGGCGCCGTCACACGGCTCTCGTGGTTACTCGCAGCGAGCAGCACTTGCCCCAACAGCCAAGTAAAGGCTATACGGGGGATCTGTGTCTGTTGTGCGAGTTCCAAACTCGTTGCACTGATCCCAATAGTCTACAGAGGGTGTCTCTGTGCGCGCAGCGGTTCGATTCCCGCTTCACGGCCAACATCGGTGACGGCGAGGATCTGCACCGATCCCGGGGACTTCGTCAGCTCGACTCGGCCCTCGACTAAACGACTTTCCCTTGGTGCGGTGTGTGCGCAAAGCGACCACCGACTGGAGGGAGAGACGAAGGCGGGTCGTGGCGCTTAGCCAACACCGCCTGCGTCGTGGTGAAGTGCAGGCGGCGACCGCCACTCGACGCTACTCGCGAACGGCAATTGCCCCCGACATTGTGTGCGTGAAGGCTATGCGGGGGACCTTTGTCTTTGTGCGTTCACACAGGTGTGTGCCCAGCCCCCTTCCCCCCGCCCCCGACCCGCTCACCTTGAAGAATCCCTTGCATCCCTCGCACGTGCGGACCCCGTAGTGCTGGCACGCCGCGTTATCCCCACACACAGCGCACATCCCCTCGCCCGAGCCCTGCTGCTGCTGCTGCTGATGCTGCTGGTGGTGGTGCTGCTGATGTTGATGGTGATGATGATGATGCGGAGAAACCTGTCCGGTCAGCTCCGTCGTGGCCACCATCCCCGTTCCAAACGCGGGCGCCCCGACGCCGCACGGCGGGAATGAGAAGCTGTGCACGGCACCCTGCGAAACGACGGGGCACGGAGACGACGAGGAGGAGGAGGACGACGACGACGAGGAGGAGGGAGAGGCGATGGAGCGGCGCGTGAAGCCGGAGAGATCGTGAGCCCCCGTTGCTGTGGGGGTGTCCGGCGGGGACTGCGTGCATGCGAAGGGGGGCAAGAGCTGCTGCTGCTGCTGCTGCATCTCCGCATCGGGGATCCCGCAGCAGGGACCCGCGTAATGGGACACTCCCCAGGGACAGCCCTGCTCAGATTGGGAGGCGGCAACGTCGTAGAGCTGCCGCCGCTGCTGCTGCCGCCGCTGCTGCTGCTGCTGCTGCAAATGCGGCGACGTCGGCGGAGAGGAGGGAGGCGAGGGGAGGAGGTGGAGCGAGGACGCGGCGAGATGCAGGTCTTCCAACTTGGGCTGCTGCTGCTGCTGGTGGTGATGCTGGTGCTGATGGTGCTGTAGGTGCATTTGCGGGTCCTGCTGTAGGTGATGCAGATGCTGCAGCTGCATGTGGCAGGTGTAGTCCACGTGGGGTTCCGTCTTGACCGCCGCGTGCACCTGGGCCGAGACGGTGTCGAACGGCAATGCGCTCTGGTGGTGGTGGTGGTGCTGGTGCCGGTTCCCGTGCGCTTCCGAGAAGAATGCGAATCCGCCGGGAAGAGAGGCGACGGGCGATGAGGACGAAACGGCGGCGTTGGAGGAGGCGGACGAGGAGAAGGGCGAGCAGGACGAGGAGGACGAGGAGGAGGAGGAGGAGCAGGGCGAGAACGCGCTAATCGCCGCCGCGTCCGCATTCACGATCTCCATGCTGAAGCGGAAAAAGTCTGGGCCCGTGAGCTCGCTCAGCAGGCGCTCCTCCTCCGCCTCGGCCGACGGCAGCTGGGGGAACGCGGCCGCGTGGAGCAGCGAGGAGGCCTCGCCGGCGGGTCCCAGCGGGGACCCCACCGAGACCCCCGTGGCGGCGAAGGGGACGCGCGCGGCGCACGGCATGGCGCCCCGCGGAGAGGGGTAGGAGGAGGAGGAGGGCGCTTGGCGACTGCTGCTGCTGCAGACGCTCATGCCGGCATCGCGCTGCGCGGGACAGGGCGCGAACCGGGACGTGGCCACCTGAGCGGCCAGGGTTCCCCGAGAAGAGATCGCCCGCTCCTTGGAGAGAGGGACGCGGTGGTTGTGGAGGCGGTGGAGCTGCTACGGGGGTTGGGCGGGGGGATAGATGGACAGATGTCAATTATAAGCCGTGGACAGGTGGGTGGGTAGACGTGTAAGAGGGTAGACATGTGGGTGGGTGAACAGGTGGGTGGGTAGATAAGTTGGTGGGTAGGCATGTAGGAGGGTAGATAGACAGACGGGTGGGCAGATACACACGTAGACATGGTAGGCAAGTGTAAATGTAAGTGTTTACATGTGTGAGAGTGTATGTGTGTATGCATGTGATTGTGTGTACGGGTCCTGCTCATGACCACCACCAGTGACGATTATCTGAACCAGTGCTGGGCCTCCTCTAGGTCGACTCAGCATCAAATGGGTATCTGGTGCGGTGTGTAAACATCGCCACTGGGGAGACAAAGGCGGCCGGGCGTGGTGTTGGCCACCCACCCCCCTCGTGTGCCGTTGCCGGCCTTCATAGGTGCTCGCTAACAGCACTTGTCCCAAAAGTCTGTCAAGGCTATACGGGGGATCTTTGTCTTTTGTTTGTACGTGAGCGAGCGAGTGTACGTACGTGTGTGTGTGTGATTGTGCGAGTGTGTCAACCACGCGTGCCAGCGGGGGGTGTGTGTCAAATGCGCGAGGCGAGGATCGTAATTCCAGATGCAAACTCGATCCTCCCCCCCTCCCCTTTACACTCACCCAACCCCCATGAGCAGTAGTAGCATCATCAGAAGCAGCATCAGCATCAGCAGCAGCATCAGCAGTAGTAGCATCATCAGAAGCAGCAGCAGCTTTGTAAGCATATCACATTGCACAGTGCATTCATTGCCCGTGTGCAGTGGCAGCTGTGCTCTTTATATCCCTGCAGTGATATCCACCGCGTGTTAAAGTCGAAGAGCGTGGAGGTTTAACGGTGTAAACTTGATCATACGAGTTTAACACGTAGGCTTTCGCGAACCAATATTATTTCTAATAATATGAATAGTAACAATGGTAACGCCCCCTGCGGTGGGTATGCAAATGAGTGCAGTGCTCGTTAATTACAGGATTGCCATAAGAGACTTTATTGACAACGCATGTCAAATGAACTCGTTATCATCATGATTCTGCAGGGCACGGATTCACCCCCTTTGGCCACGTGTTTGCACGCTGGCGCAAAACCGCTGCATTCACGCCGCAACTTTCAACACCATCATCATCAGCAGCAGCAGCAGCACTCTCATCATGATCAACAGCAGTAGCATCATCACCCTCATCATCAGCAGCATCGTCATCATCATCATCTCATGAAACGGAGCGCGCTTTGCAAAGGCTGCATGGCCAGGGACGAAGACAGCCACGCAACCCACAGCCCTGGAAATGCCAGCTCCTCCATCCTCCATCATCACCACCTCCACACCATTGCCTCAAAGGTGGAGGGGGCCACGGCAGTGGTGGCCGAGCGGGCAACCCGAGTTCCAACTTGAGAAAGTCACCACCACCAACCACCGCCCACCCACTCACCAACACCGTCACCACGATTCGCCATCGCTACCTTCCTTCTGCCGTTATTACCAGTTGCGCAAGTCAGCACCCGACCTTCCCATGTGTGTGCGCGCGTGTGTGCACCACCTACGATATCAATTCAGCGATGCAACACCGCCGCTCTCCCCCAACCCACAAATATTAGGTGCTCCCCACCTCCTCCTAAAAACCGAAATCTGTGCATTTACCATCACCAGTTATATCATTTACGCAGTGCATCCCACTCCTCCCCCCACCAATGCACAAACACAAATCGAACCTGCCAGATCGAAGCTGACATTTGAGACAGCAGCTCAGCGGGCACGGCGACTTGATCGCCAAACCGCGCCAGAGGCTCTGCGATACGAACCAACGGTGCAGCACGGATCCAAAGTGACCGCAAGATGAGCTCAGCTGCGCAGGTGCGTTCACACAGGTGGGTGCCCCCCCTGCCCCCCCCTGCCCCCCCCTGCCCCCGATTCACTTCGTAGCGAGTTTTGAGACAGGTGAGGAGGACGTCTTACCGTGACTCCCACAAAGAGGTGGGGGGAGGGGCGCAGTTGAAGGGCGTCGATAAAGAAGACGCAGCGATGATGTCTTCTTGCTGTCAAAATCCCAAAGGTGTCGTGCTCCGTGCCACAGGTGCGGCAGCGGTTGATAAGTCCTGCGAGTAGCTCCCCGCGTGAGCAGCTCCGTCAATGATTGAGAGGCTCGTGAGTGAGAGACTGACTCGTGCGTGTGCTCGAGAGAGACTCGTGTGTGTGTGTGGGGGGGAGATGGGAGATGAGAGAGAGAGCGAGATCAAGACTCGCGCGCCTAACAGGAGCGCCGCGGGTTCTGTGCGCGTGCACGCCGCCTCGCCGCGCTTTAAGTAGGGGGTGACGCGCGTCACGAAGCCCCGCGAGCCAATGGGGCCGCGCGCGCGGAGGCGGCTCGTGACGGCCGTCGGAGCTGCCGTGACGCCACTGCCCCCCCCCACCTCCCGGTCGCCCGCGTCTCTCTCCGCTGGCTGCGTGCGCGCGCACGAGCGCGTTCCTGTTTCCACGCGCGGACAACCCCCTCCATCCCCTCCCCTCCACCCCCCTCCGTCTCGGCTTCCCCCTCCCCTCCCCCCGCCGTCCACCACCTCCCCCCTCCTCACTCTCTCCATTCCTCGTTCGCCTACATGTCTCCCTTAACACCTCGCATGCCCTACCCTACGCCTCCTCCGCACCGCGCACGCCTACCCATTCATGTATCACCTCCCCTCCATTCTCCCACCCCCGCCGCCCCCCAAACATCAACAAACCCATCAACTCCCCCTCTCAGCACTCCCCCTCAATTCCTCTCCCCCTCCTCCTCCTCCCCTACATCGCGTGCATCCCCCCCCTTCCCCACGTCCCAATTCCCAAACAACAAATCCCCACCCGCCCGCTCTCCTTCCTCCCCTGTCCCACGCCGCTCCTGCGCCCCCTTCCTCCCGAGAAACCCCTTTGCAGCACCCCCCTCGGCCACCCCCTCGTCATGATCACCGCTCCCGCCGCGCACGGGGGCCATCGCGACTCGATCATTTGACGCTTTTTGTTTGTTTGCGGCAGCATTGCAAATCGACTCGTGGGCGCGACCCCTACGGGTTTTGCTCGCTTTCCTGGGTGAATCACCACCACCTCGAGAAGATGGACACGCGAGGAGGAGGCGGAGGAGGAGGGAGGGGGAAACCAATATTTTGTTTTAATTGTGCACGATGCAACGCGTCTTATTGCGATGGTAATAATCGATTGCAATCAATTCATCGATGCGTGCATCTCACCCCCCCCCCCAAACCCCCCCCCCCAAACTCGCCCATCTCTCTGTCTCTCACCTCCACCACCTCCTTTGCCCCTCCTTCCTCCTCCACGCATTTCCCTTACTCACTCCGATACCCCTCCCCCCCCACTGCCTCTCTCGCCCATTGACGTCACCCCCCGCAGCGGAGCGCGCGCCGCGTCCGCCCCCGTGACGCACGCGGCGCGCGCCCGTGACGCACACGCGCGGCTAAAAATAGTCGCGCCGAGGGGGCGGGGCCTGCGTGGGCGCCGGGGGTTGTGGGGGAGGGGCGGTGGTTATTTTTGGCCTCTTTCCGCGCCGCGCCGAGTGAAATTTGGATGAATTGGGGGGTAAATTTAGGAGCTCGAGCCGGGGGGATGGTTTTGCGTGGGAGTGGAGTGAGGATGAGAATGGGCGGTGGTGGCGGGGGGGGCATCTGGACAGCTATTCCCGTCGCGACCCCAGCTGGGGTTGGCTTCGCCGTCGTCGTCGTTGTTGCTGATGTTGTTGCTGATGCTGCTGCGAGTCTAATTGTGGCGGCCTTCGGCGCGTGGTTAAAACTGATGTTGTTGCTGATGCTGCTGCGAGTCTAATTGTGGCGGCCTTCGGCGCGTGGTTAAAACGCATGCGCGTTCATAGAGACACACAGACACACGCAGCTGGGACTGGGCTCGGATATTCGTCATTGATGTCATTGATGATGGGAATCGAACTCGGATAGCCAGGTCCGTAGCGCAGTGCGCTAACCGCTGCGCCACCTCTCCCAAAGTACAAAATGACAAATATTCCTCCCCCATATAAACTTAACAGACTGTTGGGGCAAGTGCCGTGCGCGAGCACATTAGTGCACGAACAAAGACAAAGATCCGCTATTTTATATTCGATATTTATTCAATTTTATATACTTCAGCCCCTTGGTGTTAGACTTTTAACCCTTATTATTATAGTAAGACTTGTTTAAAACTTATTTAAGATTTTAGATTCCTATATGTTGAATGTATGCACCATCCTGCCAAAGTAAATTCTGTGTCGGTGTGAATTTACATGGCGAATAAAACCCTTTCTGATTCTGATTCTGAATAGTCTCAACAGACTGTTGGGGCAAGTGCACAAGCACGCGCACACATTCACATGTGCCCCACACTCATGTGCACACAGCACAGCGTGCTCTCACAACGCATGCTAAGACACACGAGAGTGTGCACACACAACGACACAGCGGACAGACACAACACAACGTTGAGCGCACATACAAAGACCAAGATCCCCCGTATAGCCTCTAATAGAATGTTGGGGCAAGTGCTGTTAGCGAGGCCGGTACGACACATACGACGGGGTGGGTGGCCAACACCACGCCGGGCCGTCTTTGTCTCCCCTATGATGAAGTTACACACCGTGCACCAGGTACTCACTCAAGTGTAAATCGACATGTGCGCATACCACACGTGCAAACCATGCCCATCACCTGCACCGCGAGAGTTTCACGATCTGCTGCTGACGATTCAGATGATAATAAGGTTTAATTTTGAGGCCAGTATTTGGCCACGTGACAGTGACTGGGGAGAGGATATTGTATAGGGTTAGGGAATAGGGTTCAGAGGGTAGGGCTATAGGATAAGGGCTAGATAATAGAGTTCGGGGAATGGGGGTTAGGGGATAGGGTTTTGGTTATATGATTGAGGATATGGGATAGGGTTTTGGATAGAGGTTACGAATAGGGATTTGGGTGATATGATAGGGGTTAGGGTTATAGGATCATGGTTACGGGATAGGGGTTAGGGTTATAGGGTAGGGGTTACGGGATGGGGTGAATGTTATAGGATCGGGGTTGCGGGATAGGGGTTAGAGTTATAGTATAGAGGGTGCGGGTTTGGGGGTAGGGTTATAGGATGGCGGTTACGGGATGGGGGTTCGGGTTATAAGATAGCAAATAATTCAGCATCAACATCATGGTTGCCATTTACAAGAAAACATTCACCTACTACAAAAAACCCCGGTGGGTAATGCCAGGAATGGTCATCACTGGGCCTTAACTGGCTTACACCGGCGGGGGTTGGGACGGAGGGGTGGCTTGAGGGGAGCTCAGCAAAAATACGAGAATCGTTACAGGAATAGAGGAAATTGTTAAAAATAAAAAAAATCCCGGCCCTGATTTAGAACTGGGGACACGCGCGCGCCGCCCTGTGACAACGCACGCGGGGCTTCGGAAATAGCCGCGCGAGGCTCCACCACCACCCCACCACCACCCCCCACCACCAACCCCCTCTCTCTAATTAGCGCCCCCACCGACTCCCACGCCGTCGTGTGCGCGTCACACAGACCCACGCAAGCTGCGTCACGGCTTCTCGCGTGCCCCGCCCACTCCCCACTTTTCCTCCCCCGCCCACTTCTGTTCCCCGTCACTCCACACGGAGAGGCACTTTCCAGTGATAAGCAACGCGGCAGGCAAGTGCGGGTGGTGGTGGGGGAGGGAAATACTCTCCCTCTGTGTGTGAGGGGGGGGGGGTAAGAGGGGGGGGGTAAAAGGGGGGGGGGTAAGAGGGGGGGGGGTAAGAGGGGGGGGTAAGAGGGGGGGGGGTAAGAGGGGGGTAAGAGGGGGGGGGTAAGAGGGGGGTAAGAGGGGGGGGGTAAGAGGGGGGGTAAGAGGGGGGGGTAAGAGGGGGGTAAGAGGGGGGGGTAAGAGGGGGGGGGGTAAGAGGGGGGGTTAGAGGGGGGGTTAGAGGGGGGGTTAGAGGGGGGGGGTTAGAGGGGGGGTTAGAGGGGGGGGGTTAGAGGGGGGGTTAGAGGGGGGGATAGAGGGGGGTTAGAGGGGGGGTAAGGGGGGGGGGAGTTACCCTCTCTCTATGCATGGTGGGTGGGTAGGGGGGGTTACCCCCTCTGTGTGCATGGTGGTGGGGGGGGGGGGCTAGAGGGGGGAGGGAGGGGGCGAAGTTACCCCCTCTGTGTGTGGCGGAAACAGTGGCGTAGCCCGCGGAGTGGGCAGGCGGCGGGACTGCGATGCGAGAGAGGGGAGAGGCAGATTGGGAGGCCGGGGGAGAGAGGGAGGGAGGCAGGGGGACCCCATTTAGCTGGCCGGGGAAGGGGGAGGAATCCCCGGTTTAATTTCTCGCTCACCGGAGCCCTCGGCAAACACGCTGAGCAACTAACCCGCATCGTGGCACCCCGTCGACTCGCCTCGATCTGCGATAGAGACCCATAGACGTACACAGAGGCAGGGAAGACTTACAGAGACATGAATATGGACGTAGCGACGCATAGGCAAATGCAGTACAGAGACCTATAGATTTACAGAGACCCACATATTTGCAGAATCCCATTTACTTAGACAGAGAAGAGAACCATAGTCGTATATACAGCCAACTATACAGACGTATGCAGACCAAAAGACAAAGAGACCCATATTACAGTACTTTATAGACACCCATAGACGACTTACACAGCGAACCAAATTTACATTAAGACCCATAGAAATCCATAAACTTACGTTGAGACACGTAGATTTACACAGACCCATATACTTACACAGAGACCCGTGTACTTAAACGAAGACCCATGGACTTAAACAGATACCCATAGACGTATATACAGAGATTGATAATATTACACAAACCCCCGTAGGCTTACACAGAGACCCATGGACGTAGACAGGGATTGATCGTGCGGCCAGAGTGGCGAGACGTCATCTCCCTCGTCTGGGTATGGAGGAGTGCGTGGGCTCGACTCTGACGACTGGAGTTTGCATGTTTCTCTCCCCGTGGTCGCGTGGATATATTTCCGGGTCCCCCAGTTTTTCCCTCCATATTTAGAAACACGCGTTTTCTGAGTATTTAGCTGCTATAAATTTCCACGTGATAAGCCACTTTCGTTCAGCAATCTTTTGTCGCCAGTTCGCTTCTAGAAAATGAGCTATATAGGTCAGTAGGCCTTACCTGGTAAAATAAAAAAAACAGCTTCGTTTATATTAGATAGCATTAGACAGATACCCACAGACACCCCATCTAGAGACTCATAGACTCACATCGAGACCAAAATATTTACGCACACTTATCATGGCCCATAGACTTACAAAGAGACCTATTGAAATGCATAAAGAT